TGCTCCCAGCACTTGAACTCAGGCACTGAGCACACCAGAGGGAGCTCCCTACCCGCCGTCAGGCCGGGCCGGGGCTCTGCCAGCACAGATCCCTGCTCTCACCTGAATCCTCTTTGTGCCCAGTCACCACACTGAAGCTCAGTCTCCTCAGGTGAATACAGAAGGTTTTGTCACGCTGAAAAAGCCCCTTCTGCAAAGTGCCAGAGGTCAAACATAGTTCCAGTCATTGACAATATCTGTTTTATACCTGGCTGTTGGTGGCATATTAAGCTCTCTGTAATGGAACCATAAAATTGTCATTCCTCATGTCACCCTGGCTGCTGCCTTCTCCCCAGCACAGGATGGTTCAGGCATTGGGCTCAGAGTTAACCAGTAAGACCCCCCTAAAGAAAAGCTCATCTCTTGGACAGCAAACTTGCACATGTGCTGATCCCTATATATGCATTCCCAGGAATATTTTTATACCTTGTGCAGTTTATACCAGGAAGATACTATTAACACTCTCCAATCTCATCAGTGTATAACCATTACATTCTGTGTGTGATAAATAATTCATTACTTTGTGCTCTGAAATAGGAAATGTTAATGTCTAATAAATGCTTGGCGGCAGATTTGGGTTTCTATTTAAGAAGTATAATTTGTAAGAATTAACAAATTATTATTTTTGTCTTCTCAAAATTTTTCTGCACTTTCCTTCTGGCAACACATAGGAACTTTTTCTTGCTGGGTGGTTTTCTGGAGTGCTTACTGTAAGACACAAACAACTAAAGCAAAAGAGGTTCTAGCAGATTCTAGCAGCAAATGCAGTTTGAACACAGGCCTCCTTTTATCTGAAGAGGCCTGGTTATCAATAATAAAATAGGTAATTATTTCTGCAAAACAAATCACCCATTATTTCAGATGATTAAGTGTTGAACAAGATAAACTAAATACACACCTGTCTCAGCAGGCACGTTTAGCTTAATTGAAGACTTACTCTTAGTGACTTCTTACCCAAAGACATACAGCAAACTTCTCATACCTCTGGTCCAATCGTGTCCCTGTGAGCTTGTGTGGGGTCTACTGATTTGGAAAAAATCTGTGTAGTTAATGTTTTACATGAAGCTATTTGTAGGTTTAGCTTTAAATACATGTTGCTCCTTAGGCTGAAGAGGAATATTATAATGCCAAAGTTGCCCTGGACACAGATCCTAAAGGTCCCAAGGACTCCCTTGTTCTGGGGGAAATATTCAAAGGAAGAAGTTGGAACTTCTCAGAGGTTACACAGCATTTCACTGTTACTCCGCTGAGCCAGCTTAACTAGGCCTGTCTTTTCACTTCAAATCCTATGAATCCTTATGCAGAAAACACACAACTCAGGTGTAATTCATACCATTAATATAATTTACTAATTACAAACCTGAATGCAGTACATAATTGTGCTGTGGTACATGCATTTTCTTGGTGGAATATTTGTCATTCTTTGGAAAAAAAAAACATGTAATAAAATACTTTATGTATATAGAAAATATTTTAAAATGTAAAATTCACTTCCTGATCCTTATAACTGTAAAATTCTTTGTTCACATATCACAAGTTGAGTTGACTACAAAAACTGTTTTGTAAATTACAGTACATTCACAAGTCACTTTTGTGACAAGACAGTAATATTAAAAAAAACACCAAACCAAAACCCAAGGGGTCTTCTCTTCATGCCAGTCCAGCATCTTTGGCCATACTGTAGAAGATACCTTTTGCTGCTATAAGGTTTGCAGGTGTGTCAAATTCAGCTATGGTCCCATTGTCTAGAACAAGAACCCTGTACAAAACAAAAGATGGTGTGGGGGAAAGATGTATCAGAAAATTCCTCACAAGGAATGCAGTACCTGTTTGTGTCACAAGGCAAACTTCTCTAATCTTTGCCTTGCTTTTGTTTTCCTCAATTATTTTCACATGTTAAAATACAATAGATGATAAACATTCTCCCTGAGCTGCTGCTTGACAAAAAAAGTCACAGGACAGTCACTGTCTCCCAGGGGCAAGAAGAGGGAAAAAAAGCATCTGGAACTGAGACTATAGTTCCAGAAAGCCAAGGAGATAAAAGCTCATGAAGAATACTAATATATTTTCAAGTAATTAAAATGGCATGCTGTTAGTGAAGAAGTTACAGCAGCTGCTGGTTTAACAAGGTTCCATAAGCTTCCAGACAGTCTCAGGAGTGTCCCTGGGCAGTGTCCCCTACACAGCTCTGGTTTCTGAATGTAGAACCTGTTTCCTATGCCAACAGAGGCAAAGTCAGGGCTGGAAATTCTGGGATGATACAGCACACCATTGCTTACACATTGCCCAACAAGAGAAGCAGTGCTCATCTCCAGAGCCAAACCAGACCCCTTGAAGTGCTGCTTCACATCCCCAGCAAACCCATGAGCCCACCACGCGCTGCTCAGAGATCTCACCTGGTGTAGTCCATGATTGTGTTCAGCCTGTGTGCAATGGTCAGCACTGTGCAGTCCACAAACTGTGTCCGAATGGTCATCTGGATGAGGTCGTCGGTCTCCAGGTCGATGGCGGCCGTGGCTTCATCCAGGATCAGGATCCTGGTCTTGCGCAGGAGAGCTCTGGCCAGGCACACGAGCTGCCTCTGGCCCACACTGCAAGCACACACAGCCTTTCAGTGAGCCCAGCTCCCCACTGCTCACAGCCACTTGTGCTCAGCAGGTCACTCACAGTGTTACCCAAAAACCCCTGAAATATTTTGCAAGCTGTCTGTTCTGTCAGCCCCATAGCTCACACATGCAGGCTGCAGCATACCTACCCTAACTGTGATAGGATCACTTACTGCCTGGCCCTATGCTGGCACAGCCACCAAATGTACCTTTTATCACTGTGACAAAAGCCAGGGCAGCTAATGACAACGTTTCTGCCCAAGCTTTAAGAAACACTCATAGTTCTGATAACACTGAGCATATGCAAACTTAGGAAAAAGAAAATAAAAAGCAAAAGAAAATGTTATGAGGCTGCAAAAGTCCTTTCTACCGTAAAAAGTAAAATATATACATGTATCTGAGCAACCCAGACTTCCTCCCTTGCCACAAACATAGCCCAGACTCAGTCTCCGAGTGTGTGCACCATGAGGAAGGAGCCAAACATTCATCACAGGCAATCTGGTGACACCACAGCCTCAGAAGCCAATGAAGCATATCAGAACATGGCATTTTATCATCCCCAGTCATGTCTTCATGGGCCTTTCAAATAGTAATGGAAAATAAACATTGCTGAAGTGTCAGGCAGAGAACTCTTACTCAGCACAGCAGTAATGTTATCATGGCATTTCCCTTCCTACCAGAATGTGTTTAAGGGGCTGCCTGTCCCTAATATCCTGCAATCCTAAAACTTCTTTCTGACAAGATGGGATTTGGGTTTGGGAGAGGAATCAGATCATTTGTGGCAGAGGCAAAAGGGGAGGCAAACGTTTGAACATTGGTGGCTTTCTTGGAACAGAAACAGGTGCCTGAATAATTTCAGATATGACAGACCAATGTTAGCCTGTGCTCAGGTGTCACCCACTGTCACAGCTGAATGACAGCTCAGTGTACGCTCTAGTCAAGGCATTCCTTACCTAAGATTCTCTCCACCCTCTGAGCACTCATAGTCCAGCATGGAGGGCTGACTGCTGACAAACCTCTTCAAATGAGACAGTTCAAGTGCTTTCCATATTTCTTCATCTGAATACTTATTAAATGGATCCAGGTTCATCCTCAGTGTTCCAGAAAAAAGGACAGGATCCTAGATATAAAACCAATTTTCATTAGACAAGTGCTTTAGCTGTTTTAAGTACAGATACTGTACTGGGCTGCTGCTTTGATGTGTCCATTGTATCGCAGGTAGGCTACCTCCCAATCCCATCCTCTCTGAAAATACTTTACATCATACAGTTCAAACCCAACTTTCAGCTCTAAAGATGGTTTATTCTAAATCCTTTTTTATCACCCAGCTTATAAGGTGGCAGGATGGAACCAGTGAA